GTCGACTGCTTGGAAAGCAAATTCTGCTGCGCTTTAGGGATGCTTTATACGCCGAAGCAGGTGGGTTCTTCACGTGCATTGGGCGCAGGGCCGCTGATGTGGCATACAGTTGACAAACGAGCAAGAGCATGGCCTATCTTTGAGCCACACCCAGGTCAATGGGTATAAAACCTCTCTGTCCTTCCTCCAATACTCCCTCGCAAAAGTACTACCATTAACAGCGTTGGGAACATAACCGCCGGAATCTTTGACATGCGAGTGCCCTACTTGCTTGGCCAAGGAAGGCTGCCGGAGTCGTACGTTCTATCCACTTTGGCTCAGTTATATTTTGGTTGACAAAGCACCAGCAGCGGAAAAAGATAGTGTGGATTGACATCACCACAGAGCAATGGCGAAAGATAACGTGTTTTTGCTGTGTACGAGACATCTCCCGCCCAGAACAGCAAAATTGGATCGAAGAAGGGCACGGTAAACTAAACGCGTGGGGGAACAAAACCGGAGAAAAACAGTGAGGCTTCTGACATTACATGTAGGAAGTTGGATGCACGTATGTACTGGAGAGCCGGTAGAGGTGAAAGCGAACGGACAGAGAGTGGGGTTTTATACCGCGATTCCGCCACCTTCACGAGCCCAGGCAACACTCTTTGCAGCCTAGACGGTGTCACGATGGCAACACACGTGTGCAGTTCCGCTTTCGGCAGGAGCAGCACGCCGCACAGTCCACCGCCTGTGGCTCTCGCAAGGTATAAACCCCTCGACCTGGCTGCTCTGTCGATGCTGTTTCCTGCACATGCACTGGCTTTCAGCCTGACCCCAAGAAAACACCTCGCCCAGAACTGGGTTGACTGGGTTTGGCTGTTGCTTCGGGCCCTCAGATTTGTCTTCTTTGCGCCATGCCAGCCATGTTCCAACTATCCCCTGCCCCTGAAATTCAACCTCTATGACTCGATGAAGTCTTTCGGCATCAGGATATCGCATCTGAGCCATCATCATGCAACAACACATTCCAACGCTTGCCTCCGCGGCGTTATTTTTGCTGGACTGTCGCGGGCGCGCGGCTACGCCGAGTCTACCTGCACAGAGCGACGCAGAAACACGGAGCAAAGCCAAAAAAGTCGAGTGAGGTGAGATTTTCAGCTCGAAATCGGTAAATTTGTTAATCACTCCTTTAAACTGTGGTCTTGAGGGGGACAGTGGAGGGATTTTATACCTGCCCATCGAAAAGCGCAACGAACACATGACAAACCGTCTGCATTGTCTGCTGACCAAATTCGCTGGGTATAAATACCCCTCGATTGTCTGCCCGTTCAAGAAACATCTTACGCCGAGCAATCACGGCGCCCAAAGGACCAACACAACTGGACTACTGTCAGATCTTCCCACTTTCGCTGGGTGGAGTTTCTTGCCGGCGCGGTACAGTCTTCCTGCCGAAGCCTCATTTTCCCTTTTTTTTTTAACGACGCTGCTCAGCAACACTTCACCTTTCACCACAGCTTCCGTCAGCAAAAAGCAATGGAGGAATTCTGACACGCAGTCCATAACACAACCATTTTATTTTGCTCCGCGCTCAGCAGAGCAAGGCAGGGAATAGGACAGAACCAGACCAGTCATCGTTCCAACGAATTTGTCGAGCGTCCCAAAGCGACGAGAAGTATGGTTTGCTATCGGTCCGAGTAGCACGACCGCGCGCTGATTTACAGATTGACAGAGAGACAGTGAGGAAAGAGGAGCGATTTATATAGCCGGCTGACTGGAGAAGCAAAATCCACGTCACAGGCCGATGTCCGTGATCCACGAATCCGCCGTGTATAAAAGCGTAGGCAATCTCAATGCTTCCTCTCGATCAACTTGAAAATGCGCGCCTCTACGGAAGCACCGGAAATCCCAAAGAAAGGATTTTCACTGTGGCCTTGTCCGCCTTCTTCGAGTGGTCATGGGAGACACTGTGTGTTTGCGGTGCGGTCCACAAGGAACCCCCTTTCCTCCTGTCCGGAACTGGCACTTTCAAGCCATGAAAATGCCGATGCTCAACACAAGCACACAAGATTCCCCGCCATCACGAAGCCAAAATGTCACAATCTTGCCCTGCACTTGCCTGCTTGAAAGAACACAAAAGGGAGGCGATCAGGTCTGCCCGCAAGCCAAGGCGAAAAAGACAGTGGGCATCGCTGCTGTGACCTCTTCATCCATCAAGAACGGTGTGTTGGGTTGGGAAAGGAAGGAAAGGAGCAGTCATTTATACTCAGTCAGCTAGCCAGCGGCCCGGAACGCAAAGACCGCGTCACATGCCTAAAAAAGTGTCCGGAAGGTATAAAACCCTTCTCATTGCTGCCGCTCAGTCAACTACGGAGTCCACTCTGCTACATAAGTACCATCCTTCCGCTTGCGAAAGATGCTGCCGCCTACTGTGGTCTCGAAACTTGTGTATGTCATTCATTGAGCACAGTTTCCGGTCTCTTCCCTTCACTTGGCGTGGCGGTGCCTCCCGCGCAGAAACCTCCTTACTCAGCCCCTGAAAATACCATTCCAGCCGCTAGGATACAAAGATGTCTCTCAGCATTGCTACAAAACAGTGTAAGTCGGTAGGACGCAGTGGTGCTGCTCTTCATCACCCCTTCGCCTCAGAATAAGCCTGAAGAAAGTCCCTGGCAGCCGCCGCACCTCCCAATTTTGTGCGCATGGCAAAAGAGGGCGGGCAAAGGAGCCAGTACTTGTAAAAGTGCGGGTTAGGGGTTGAAAGTTTACACAGGAGTTTGTCTGGCTCAGAAGAGTGCGTGGAACAGCAGTCTTTTATACCCATCCAGCTGGCTCCTCGACCGAGATGACCATCTTCTGCCTCGCGCACGTGTAAGGAGCAGCCAGCTGACCATGCCCCGACCCAGATCTGCCGCTCCTCAGGTATAAAAGCTCGTGTCCTCGCTGCTCGGTGGATATCAACTGCGGCAGTGCTTGCTTTGGGAAGAAGACAAGGACAAGAATGCCCACCAGAATTTCCTGACTTTCCTGCTCCGAGCTGGGCGCTCACAGGTTGTTTTGTGCTGCAGCTTTGGGTCTTTGCCCGGCGGCAACTTGGAGGTACCACGATGCGATGACATGCCGCAGCATGATTGCCTGGCCGTCCTCAACATCATGAAGAAAACGAAGACACAGTACCATGGCCCGTAGACAACTTGGGAAAAAGCGCCTGCATGCGCTCTGCCAGAGTGGACAACAACGGCAGGGGCAAAAAACCCAGTGATAGTTTTGTGAGTGACATTTGCTCTTAAGCCAGAGATGGAGAGACAAAGATGCAGGAAGGAGGAAAGAAAGAGGGCGTCTTTTATATCCAGAGAGCTACATGGCCAGCGATAAATACGCCACATGACCCAGACCTGCAGCTCCTCGGGTATAAAAGCCTGCGTCCTCGCTGCTCGGTCAACAGCAACTGTGGCAGTGTTCTGTTTCAGGAGGAACATGAAAACCTTGAGGACGACTTTTTTGTGCTCTGTGCCTCGCGCTCCGCGCCGTACTTCATGCCGTAGCTCGGATTTCTCCTGCTGCGGAGCTTTTGGGGCGGAATGGCATAGCGGCGTATTTTAGCATGACTGCCTGGTATTGCCCAACACCATAAAGCTACAATGCTGTCCTGAGACTCCAGTGGTGGAAAGGGTAGGGGGAGATTGCGCGGCTGCCAGCGAGGATTTCTCCACGCGTGACAAAAAAAGGCGAAGGAAAGAGACAGTCGAGCCGGCGTACAGGTGTTTTGCTGCTCACTGTGCTCAGAGACAGCGCGACAAAGATGCAGAACGCAGGAGAGAGAGAAGGGGGGCTTTTATACCCAACCCCCAACCCAATCAGCCACTAACCCAGAACAGAAATCAGAACCCACAAACAACATGACATGCCCGGCCAGCTCTCGGGGTATAAAACATCCTCAGTTCCTGTACAGCTCGCTCAGTCAACCAAGGCATCTGCGCTGCCATGCAAGCAATCCACATCGTACAGTTGCGACTCTGGTTTCTCCGCCCGTCCGCTTACCGGCATTTTCAAGGCTTGATCCAGCAAGAACGAGAACTTTACTTTGTGGGGATTTGCTCTGCATTGCTTGGGCGCAGACTTGGTCTTTCTATTTACTTCTTCCTCCTCCATTTTTTCGCTAGACACTGATGCTCTCTAACTTGATGATGACGTCTCTCTAGATCACTCCTTGGCGGTATTCGCCATCATGAACTAACAATGCTGGACTCTAATATGGACCGTAGATGGATTGGTGCGAGAATCCATCCAAACACCCCCGGCAGGGCCTCGCAAGACTCGTCAAAGCCGGAGTAGGCGGGGACGGGGAACAGGACTATACTTTCGCCACACTGCTCTCATTGCGCTATTACTATCATCTTTTGCTATTGTTTGTTGTCGCAATTCGTCCTCGTCGCGATTTGTTGTCGTCGCACTTTATTGTCGTTGTAATTCGTTGTCGTCGTCGCAATTTGTTGTTGTTGTTGTTGCAGGGACACTTCCTCCCTTTTACTCACCACTCACGTGAGGACTTCCCTTTGCTGACTAAATCCAAACTTGATTGATTCCTATTTGGGTTTAGCGCGTGCCATTTTCCACCTCTGCCGGCGAACCCCTCACCAAAAGCCCCCCTTCTGCAGCACCTAATTCCCCGTCCGCCTTTGGAAGGCGCTCGACGGCACGTCGCTGCCGTGGCCCTACGCTTCGCTCCGGGACAGCGCGTCGTCGCCGTCTCCCACCTTCCTCCGGCTTGCCGGGGGACGATGAGAACGAACACGCGACCAAAAAGCAAAAGGGAAGAAAAAAAAGAGACCTCATCAGCCAAAACTTCACAGCCCTCCGAATGCCAGCCGCTTCCCTACCCCCTTTCACCAGCTCACCCCACAGTCCTCACTCTCCCCTGCCGACCTCCAAGCCACTCTCACCGCCACAAAGCCCCCTGATCCCTCGGCCCCCAACATCTATCACTTTATGTTTTATGTTTGCGAGCCCGAGTATCATGAACCGGTCTTATGGTCTAGTGGTATGATTCTCGCTTAGGGTTCACCCTGAGTTGCTCCGAACGGACAAATTGCGAGAGGCCCCGCGTTCGAGTCGCGGTAAGACCCATTCTTTTTGCATTTTTTGTCCTCTGCCCCTCGCTTTGCTTGGGTGGTGGGTTTGTTGTTCTTGTTCTCTTTTCTCTTTTGTCGATGCGAGGTTGCGAGGTGGTGGTTTATTTGGAGAAGAAGGATGGGTGGGTGGGTGCAATGGGATGGAATAATGAATGCAAAGGTGCGTGCACGGTGCACGACAAGATAGCAGTACCATGTAGTAGTAGATCGCGTGGCGCTGTCCATCTCCTCCCTATTAGATGTGGAAAAAGAGAAAAGGAGAGATGGAGGACCAAAGCAATTTATCCCTAATCCATCCCTAGGTCCATCCACACCTCAGCAATCCGTCCGTCCCTAGCTTGAGACCAACCTGGACACACCGTGTATCGCAATCGCAATCGCAAAAGAAAGGAAATTCGCAACCCCAATTGAAGCAGGGGGTGCGCGTGGGGGTGTGTGGGTGTGTGTGCTCGAATGCTCCCTGTAGCCATCTTTTGCATGTTTAAAGATCGAGGGTGTAGGGAGTGAGGGTGAGGTGGTTGGTTTACTCCCTACCAGCCATGTCTACGCATTCCTTGATTTCTGGCGCACAGATAAAGGATGGCGAGGCCGAGAGGGCAGGAAGTGTAGGGAGTACAGTAGGGAGAGTTTGAGAAGGACAAGTGGAGGGAGGTGGTATGTATGGCTTTTTGAGACTTTTCTGTGGAGAGGGAGGGCGAAGTATTGAAGCGGTTTTGTCCCAAGAGATGTAGATTCGTTCGGCCGGCGTTGAGTGGGAATAGCTGGACTCGCGTATGCATGTTGGTTGCTTGTCTGTCTGTTTGTCATGTCCGTGTCGCGTTGCAGAGGAGGTGGAGCGAGCAGATTTGGCCACGTACTGTAGGCCTGCAGGGGTCGCCACAGGAAGAGGAGCTCGGTTCGGCCACATCACTAATCATGGCCGTATATCGGTTCAACCGGTTGGAGATGGCAGTAGTAGCACTGCCATGCTGCCCAGCCTGTGGCACATTTCACTTGTATGGAAGAGCTGTGGCGAGTGGGCTGGTGGGCGGGCGGTTGTGGATGGTGGGCGTGGGTATGAGGCCTGGTAGCAAAAGTCGTAGCACACAGAGGTAAGAAACTGAGCGGGAGCGACCAGACAATACTCCAAAGAGCGACCCTGGAAGCATAGGAATTCTATATCTGAAAAAGGCGTGTATCTAGGGAGCATTCAAGGCCCTCGCCCACTCAAGACCAGAACTCACCAAGTCCTTTACGCAGAGTCACGGGGAGTAGTCGTAGTTGTGTGTGCCACGACTTTTGCTACCAGGCCTCGGTGGATGAGGGTGGGCGGGCGTCAATTGTGCAGAGCCGGCAAGTCGGTCCAGGTGGCAGTTATGGAAAAACGTGTAGCCTCTTCAACAGCAAGTCAGATCCAAGGAGTCTCCACACACACACCCACACCATCGCGCCAAGCAAGACAAACCAAGAGACAAAAACAGTCAAAAGGCGACGTACGAGCACTACCTCGGGGTGTCCGTCTCACGTCTCAAGACTCCATTCAGGTGCAAGGAGCACACTTGACTACACTACACTACATCTTGTGATTAACGGGGGGTAACAAAGAAGGGTAAAAAAAAAGTAGATGAGAAGAAAGAAGAGAAAAATAAATTGGGCGGTGGGTGAGATTGTGGTGATAGATGGCCAGGAGAGAGGGAGGGTTGTTGGAAGAGAAGGGAGGGAAGGAGGGAGGGGGTTTTCGTGTGTCTTGATGCAGACAGACAACCATCGACAACAAGCTGCTGTGTCGACCACGCGACCAGAAAAAGAGAAAACGCAGAGAGAAGGAAAAGAGTGCGCGCAGAAAACATGGTTTGGCTGGCGGCGTGTCCGTCGCCGTCATGGTCCATCAATCCATCCATCCAACAAAATACCCCTTTTTTCTCCCATCTCTTCGACATCGATAATCACCCACTACTCGTCGCGCCACCGCCCGTATTGCCCACACTGACGCCCCTCGCGTCCTTGACCGTCCATCCGGTGAGGTCAATCGTCCAGCCATTGCCCAGACTGACGGCCGTGGCGCTCATGGCCGCCTGGCCCCCGGCGACGTACTCGGTAAAGTACGTCTGCAGGTTCTCCTGCGCGGCGACGGCGTGGTCGAGGCTGCTGCTGGCCTGGAAGATATAGAGCACGCCCGTCTGGCAAAAGGCGAGGCGCTTGGCGCTGATGCCCGAGGTTGATGTCGACGAGGGCGTCGTCGTGGACGATGTTGGAGACGAGGTTACTGTCGATGTCGCGCTGTACATGCTGCTGCCCCCGTTGGCGTCGTACACGATGCCCAGGTTCGTCTTGGCCTGGTCGGACGAGTACTGCCGCCGTTGGAGGCGCGCGAGCGGCGTCACGAGCGGGCGGGCGGCGGCTTCGCGGTCGACGGCGTCGGGGGCGTTGTTGGACAGAGGGACAGGTGCGGGGGCGGGCTTTGCAACGTTTTCCTCCTCATCGTCCAACAAGAGCTCAATTTGCGCGGGCCAATCGAGGCCGCGCCGCGCCTTCTTGGACAGGCCGGAAAAGGTGACGAGCGCATTCTCCGCCGAGCACGACATGTTGGCCTTGCTGAAGAGCGCCAGCAGCTGTGTGCCGTTGAGCGGGATCTGGAAGCTGCTCTGGCTCTTGGTGATAAGCTCGGGCACGGCGCTGCCGATGGTTGCGTTGGACGAGCCGCCCATGTTGGTCGTTGTGCAGCCAGAGTCGGGGGCTTGCGTGCAGCTGGCCCCCGTGTACCCGTTGGCGCAGATGCACGCGCACGACCCGGTGGGGTCGAGCATCGAGGTGCCCCCGTTGGAGCATGGCAGCGAGGCGGCGCAGCCGCTGACTGACTTTTGCTGCGAGGCGTTGGACGAGTCGTTGTTTTTAAAGACTATCTGTGTGAGGACGACGGAGACGACGACGGCGGCGATGGCGAGAAGGGCAATAATGATCATGAAGATGATGAATGCCTTGCGTGGCATGCCGCAGCATCGTTTGCCGCGCTTTTTGGGCGGCACTTGGTCATCGTCGTAGTGCTGCTCTTTCGCGAGGCCCGTTGGCCAGTGGGTTCCGTAGGGAGAGCGCGGGGGAGAACGTTGAGGCGACGCGGTGGCGGGGCGAGGGAAAGATGTGAGCATGTCCGCGAGCGAGGCATTGTCAGACTTGCGTGCAGCAGCTGCAAGAGCAGCGCGCTTCTCCTCTGCGTTTGGTCCTCCCAGCTCCCATAAATCGAAGCCCAGTCTGCTCGCCGTCTTGCCGCGGTCGAGATTCGAAGCTAGCCTTGTAGCGCGCCGAATCAAGTCGGGCAAGCTAGTCAAGCTTCCACGCGACTCGGCCTCGTGGAGCGCGTCCACGTTCAGCTTGGGCGGGCGCCGGGTTCCCACGCGATCAGATAGCTTCGACGGTGCTCTTGTTTCCTTGCCGAAGCCCGACAGACCTCCCTTTTCCAACCCTCCCAAGATTTCATCTACCCGGGGATCAATTGGAGAGTCGAGATCGTCGTCGAGCATTTCTTTTGACAGCGGAGAATTGCCGCTGCCCTTGGATCCGCTCGAGCTGGTTGACGGTGAAGGTGGAATCAAACCAGTGCCTCCACGCAATTCATCTCCGGACGGCTTTTTCGACACAGCCAAGCCTACGGGTATGGCAGCAGCAGCCGGCATGGCGACCCCGTGTCCATTCTTGTCCCTCTCCCGCAGCTTGTCCATGCTTTCCATACTCTTGATGGTCGTCAATGACGGCTTTCCACGCTTGCCCATGCTTGCCTGTCTTACCAGTCCAGACTGATCGCCATCGTCGCTTGGACGAGACCGGCCGTCGTCGCTGTCTCCGCGTTCGGTAGGACTACCCAGGTCTTCGTCATCGTCCGAGGCGTCATCGTCAAAATAAAAATCGCCGGCATTGGCCGGTATTACATTACTAGAAGCAAAAGAATTGTGAGATCTATGTGATTCGGCCTCTTCGACAATCGGCGAGACGTAGGAGATTTGCGAGTAATAAGAGGATGGACCTCTGCGAGCCGACGGGGGAGGGCCTAATGCTGGTGGTTTTCGCGGCGCGTTGGGGACGGGGAAGTCGGGTATCGATCCGAGGGAAGAAGAAGAATTGACGGAATTTCCAGTCATGCGGTTGGGATCTCGAGTGGCAAAATACGGAGAAAGTAGCTCGCCATCTCCTGGCGATGCTGGGTCCTGTCCAGGTGGACCGAGTCGATCAGATTGCTTGGTTGGGTCAAGAATCGAAGGGACGTAGCGGGGCCTCGGGGGTCTTTGGGGCGGAGGACCTCGTGCGCGGGGTGGCGCAGAAGGCTCGCTTTCTGACAGAGGCCACTGGGGCGACATGTTGGGTGGCGGAGGACGCGAAGATGGAGGAGGAGGAGGAGGACCGTGGTGGTGGAGAGGCTCGCCTTGCTCGGCTCTCAGTCTCGCAGCCCTCACACTCCCACCTCTGTTTCCAGACGGAGCGCCATGGGGGGCGCCGGGACCCCGGGCCGGGTAGCTCATTGGCGGGGGATTTGGGTGTTATGGCATGCGGGAGAGTTGGCGAAACGGTTCGGGTTTGCAGTGATGCTCGGGAGGAGTGGCTGCTGGAGGTTAGACGGCGAAGCAATGAAAAAAGGCACAAGCATCAGGCTTGAAGCAACAAAACACTTGGCCATGACGACACGAGAAAGAAAGCAAGCAGTTGACAGAATGGAATTGTTCCAGTCGGTGTTTGAAGCGTGCGACAGACGACGTGTCGGAACAAATGTCAAGAGGGACGTACTTGGGGTGAGATTTAAAATTGACCGTGGGCTATGAGACGGTCGGAGGAGGAGAAATGTTGGAGAAGGGGTTTGATGAAGTGGCGCCGGGCTTCGATCCAGCCAGCGGATTAAAGAAGATAGGATGTGGAGGAGGGTTAACGACAGACTAGAAAGGACGTCAAGCCCGGGCGGAGTTTAGGTATGAAAAGAGAGAGTGGGAGGGGAGACGGAAAACGGACGGGCGGGGTGTTGAGAACAGAAG